GCTTACTCCGCATGAAATGTCCGCGGGCAGCTTTACGCAGAAGTTGAAATACAGCTGGGTAAGAACACTTCGTGACAAGTCTGAATACCTGCTGCAACATTTTGGCCTTGCCGTTACCTGCAAGACGCGATAAGGATAACTGGTACGATATCTCTCGCGTTGCATCAGTATTACACTTTTTTGTTCCTTCTATTCATAGGACGCTGTTCGCTTTTACTTACCGTGTCATCGTCGACGTAAGCCTGTGCCTCGCTCATAACTGCCTTGACGCGTCACAGCGCTATCTCGTAGTCCTTTTTCAGTGCTTTCTCTTGATTTTGACACGTTAAACGTTATCTTGTGGCCCTTTTCAATGCTCCTGCTTCGCAACTAGTTTACTTATATGAATTACTATCTGTTCTACATCCGCTCATGCGTCTTTAGTCTTTGTCCTTCTTTGCTGCTTGGCCCCTGTTAGGGCGTTGGTACCTTTTAGTTAGGATAAAAGGCTGATGAATAAGCAAGCTCTTAATTATGACCCACTCTGCAAAAATACGGTAGCAGAGTAAGAATGATTACGTCTACGGGATGCTGAAACGAAGACGGTTCTTAGACGCTCCTATACTAGCCTATATTCGTCTACCACGAATGGCACCAGAAATTCAGGGCCATTCGGATCTGGTTGTTGGCATAATTCGGGCGTTGCTTTAGAGTGTTCTTCAGTTTCGTCGTACATTGATTTTTACTCACAATGAGCGCGCATGTCTGCTTGCTACTTGTGTTCTGGTGAAACCTACTTGGTATGATAATTCGAAATGATACCTAAATCAATGAACACATTTTACTGCAATCCTTTACGAGAACGCCATAATTATCGACGACTGGGTAGTCGAGCCCACGCTTCTCACACAGGCAACTGGGTTGTTTTAGGGGGATAATTTGAATGGACTTTTATTCCCCATCTAGCTAAGAGGCTTATTGGTCAGATAAGAGGGCCGAGGAAATCAGTCGAAGGCATCTTGTATGCAGATGGCATAGCGATACATAAGTCGAACGGCTTCCAAGTGCACCAAACTCTAGCCCGGCACCGCGCGGTAGTCACAGACTTGGTACTGGGTCGACCTTGTCAAAATGCAGGAATTAAAGTTCAGAAGAAAAAGCAGGATTGTCTCCTGTTTATGTTAACCGGTGTCCGCAGTTGGTGTTAATCTTCTCCGTGGACCGCCGAAGTTTTACTGTGCATGTCACCAAACAATGCGCGAAAGCAGTGTTAACCGCATGTGTAATCAGAGCGTCCCACCGGTGTCCCTTAGAACCGTCCTCAGCTTTTCTGGGCTCGAAGCAGATCTGGTCGCATAGGGTACACATCATTTGGGAGGATTCTTCACTGGGGAACCTCGAACAATTAAATCGCGTTAAAGCTTTTTTCCTCAAAAGAGCGCTAGACTACACAAACAAATTGCCTCACGCGTATTTTAACCGATTCCCCACCCTGTCCGAGGACCTGTTACGCTGCTTTGAGTTCCGAACGGCAAAGGGCTTCAAGACCAGCCTTAAAAACAAAGAGTAAAAATTTGCGGAGACCGATAGGGATTTTTTTGCTGCGGGTGCGACGGGGAGCAAAAAATGAAAATAGGCGAACCGGCTGTTGTGACTCGCTGTGCCGCGCATCGGTTCCATCACAAAGTGTACAAGAAGCCGGGTTTCCATTAGCCTAGTGGGCAGCACATGCCGGTACTCCAGATACAGAGAATATTGTGATGGATATTATGCCGCTCGTTGTCTCGGGGTACTATCTTTAAAACATTTGGCAAATCTCTTAAATTACCTTTATAAACTTAATGAGACTCGTATGACGCAAGCTTTTTTAAATGGTTCAATATAATATCTCTGGCATTGAGAAATTGCGCTGTTGCTCTGTGTATATGGGGCTTCATGGGCGAACATGATTAGTATAGAGGTAGCACATCGTCATGGCGAAAAAAGTTCGAACATAAACAGAAGAAAAACGTATTCGATTTTTTGTTGATACATTTCCAAGAAGGTGTATATAAACTGAAGGCCAAAAAGCTCAGAAGATCTGCAGCAAGTCGCAGAAGGTCAGTTGTGTACGCTCGAAAAAAGCGTGAGCTGATCTAGTTGCCGCGGATCGGCCTCTCTTCATGCTATACTATAAACAAGCTTCACACCTTATTGTTTTTTTCTAGCCAAAGTAGTGTACAGGTAAATTCAAGTATGAGTACGTGATTCTTAATAGGGATAGCCAACTTGCAGCATTGATTTTTTTCGACCGATATTGTTCATATGTAGATGGCCAAAAGGTCGCTCTACTCATTTTACATACTGACAGAAATCTGTAAGTAACCGCCGCCTTTACCGAAGTAAGGGATGATTTTGTTTGAAATTGATGTTTATGGGTTGCTCCGTCGTTAGCAAGCAGAATGTAACTGAAAGCGCACTTCATTATGACCCTTGAAATGTAGCTCGCAGCCAGATCACGTAGCCAACGAGGCAATGTTGCATGAAAGGGTCGTGAACGATTGTGTAGGTGGCGTTTGCAGGAGGTGATATGTAGATGGGCGACTGAAGATATGACCACCTTATGTTGCTCTATTAGAGCCATATGCAGACGTATGCATGATCGAATTTGGGAAAGTGTTCGTCTTCATAAGATTGCCATGGTGGCTATCGTCTTCTTGTATGAAACCAGATAAAAAGTAGTCTTTGGTGGAGGTTTTACTACTAGAAACACCGTGAGCTGCGAGGTCGAAAAGCTCTGAAAAAGAAATCTTGAGAAGATGTGGAAGATTTCCTGCGAAGGTGGCTAACGAAAAATTGAAAGCTGCGATGGAGGCTAATCTATTCCAAAGAGGAAGGTTGTGAACATCACCTGCATCAGAAAAATACCATACATGTTCAGCTTGGCCAAAAAATTGAGTAACAGATGTGACAACGTTTGAGCGAAAATTGAAGGAACCTCAAAAAATGCTTCTCTCATTTTGCCCATGTATTACAACCACGACCCATTCATAGGCTATTTTTTTTTATCTATTTATATTTTTATCTAATAATAATATATATAATAGAAATATATTAATAAAAGTACTATATGTATATATATTATTATATACTATTATATAATTGTATCAGTAGGTGGATGCAGCTGGACTCTCATCTTTAAGCAAATGTACAGCTGCTAAAGTCTGTGGTGCCCTGTTTGATGATTTACTATTCACTATTAGCTTTTTGTCCTGACTCAGCGACTATGGCCTAAGCGAATTTGAGAAAAAAATTGCTATTAAAATGGTACGCCAGGGTAAGCAACTCTTACGACCGTTCTGATACCATAAACGTAATGGTGGCAAAGATGGAAGAGTTTCAGTCAGACTTGTTGCCAGCGACGATATTTACCATAGACGACCTGTACTGATTACCATTCCTCTTTCAAAATATCGACATTCTCGTAATAGGAAAATTATCTAAATGTCAACACAGTATCGAAAACGCTCGTCGAAATTCCATAGAACCTCGCACCGCACACGAAACAACTAAGTTACCATCCATCATAGATAGTTATAACACATGTCCAAATCAAAAACAAAAGGACAAGGTCTGTGAAAAAGGATCGAAAAGGCAAAATGAACTATGCCACGTTCTAGGCTGAGCGATCCAATACAGGTTACGCCTCCATACGATCTGCGACATAAACGCTGAATGTGCAGCTCTTTTTTTTCTAGAACCATACCTGCATTACCAGGTCAAGCGCGCCGTACCAATTTATAATACTTGACGGTTCGACTAAACACAGCTTTTTCTTCTCACATAAATATGGCCGTATTTATGGTCATATTTAGCGTGCGCAACTAATCTGCGAGATTGTCACCTGACATCTTAAGCTGCCTGTACAAACCGCCAGAGTCTATCGATAGAGCTAAGTAATTGACACGCTTACATATGCATGCTATGCGAGTCGGCAACCCAGCTCGTATTGAGCCGCATAATAGACCATCGACTAGATGGGTCTACTCTGTTCCTGCGTAATGGGCCAGCCTTTCCAGTAGCAGACGGCATAGTGCCTTTCCTATCGCAACATCACCATTGTAGACATTCACCTCCATTTTCTGTATGTCTCTTAACACCGCATCGTAAAAACAAGATGACATAGAGCAGAACCACCGGATGACGTCAGAGTCAGAAACAGCTCCATATATCTAGGTAAGTACGCCGTGCTTTTATTTTCTTTGTGTTCCATAGATTCCCAGCGTCCGACACCGTTTGCGTCCGAAGGGAACGGCAAGCGACGAGTAATAAAGCTTTTTTTTATGTGTGTGATGCCAGGTGGAGGGCTCGTGAAGGGCATAGCAATTGTGACAATAACTTGGACAACGGCCCCGGTTTCTTCGAGGCCGCGAAACGTACAGTTGGCAAGTTATTTGTTTACGGCGTAATTTTAAGCTAGCATAGCCACGTTCGTATGCGGGCCAATTTTTGAAATCACCTTTCCATCAAACAAACGTCTTGTTGGACTCATCTGGGATTTCTTGAGCAAAATTACGATGTCTCGAGGCAATCATATGAGCAGGTCTTATAGAGATGTGCGTGAGCCACTCACTTGAGGCCACTTATGAGGCACTCTCGCGGAATACATATATACGCGCTTCACGTAGGTTGGCACTGCGTTCTTGTTTTAGAGGGAAACACATTGTAATCTATACAGTGGCAGTTCTGTCCGCTCGTGTGATTATTGCCCTATGTATTATGAGTGCGGTTTTGTGGAGAATATTCCAAAAGCCACTAGAAGGTGGATCAATAGCTTCATATACGATGAGTACTTTATGGCCATTTAAATTTGAGGAGATACATTATAAACCGTTTCTCTACCTGACTATGAGGGTTCGTCTGAATGGAAGAAGGTCTGCCAAAAGAACTTAATTCACAAACGAATCAACGCATTGTCTACTTCACTTTCGTGATGTCCTTTGTTAAATAGTAGCGTAGTTGCCTCATTATTATCTATTCACCGAATGCACTCGACGATAAAGATGGGCATTACTGAGATGCCTGTACCCGTCCCTGTGGCGAGAATAAGTTCGACGAGTTCACGCCGCTTTTTGAAGTATTGTCCAACCATAAATACAGAACAATCACGTGTCATTGAAATTCCGCATCCCAGGATCACTCCTGCAAAATAAATGGTAGACGACATTATTTCGGCTATACGACTGCTAAAAGTATGTTTATACATTCAGAGAACGTTGTGTGCAGCGTACCACATCCGGTGCCGCGAACAACAAAATTCAGCACATCTTGTTGAACTTACAGCCGGTATCGTTCATAACTAAGGCTGAAATGATAAGGGGCCTATGATGGGTGACGGTTGGTGCCGGTAAGGTGCATCACCCTATGTAATGGCATTCAATTAGCGAACGAGGAACCCGTTGAAGAGCTTAATCCTATTTTTTAGTCTTTCGCCAATTTTGCCTTGACACAGCAGTTGAAAGCAGGACCTACAGCATTGTATAACTGCAACCCCATAAGAAAATTGTATGCCAGACATCTAAATGAGGAGGAAGCTGTTAAAAACTTCAACATGTTAACTTAGTGCTACATTTCACGAAAGCAGACTGTTCTTCGTCTGTATTTTTGGGTTTGCTTTTTCACAGAATGGGATAAGCAAAAATAAATATATAGATATACATCTATAGTTACTTGGATTGAATAAAGTAGTATGATCAATAGGGATGATTAAGGTAAATTGACGTCGTCATTTAGTAAATAAAGATCTATCTGTATTGCGGTCACCTCTAACTAGGAAACAGCAGGAATGCTCTCGCTTTCTGAAATGAGGCCTATCCTATAAATCCTTGTAAAGATTACTATCGACTTGTTAAGAAACTCGAACTTCACTGCGGCACAGGTTTAAACGCTAAAGGCAAACTAAAAGGATATTTGACAGAAAGTTTTTCGGAGCTTATTTTTCTGCTGCGCACAAGATAATTTGCTGTGGACGCACACACTTCACGCACCTGATATAAGGATAACAGCATTTGCTGAAATCAAACAATAATAAATAAGTGCTCTCATTTCTTCGGAAGAGAAACGTTTGTGGCTAGCAACAGATACAGTATTCGACATCAAGGTCTGTCTCGAAGTTACTTAATTCCAAACAAAACATATTGTAGTCGTAAAAAGCCGGAACTAAAAGATACTTTTAAACATTTTTAATTTAACCTTCAACATATTGTCGTACTTTGACCCCCTGCATTGTACCGCATATACAGTCTTGGACAAGAAACAAGTTCGCCCAACATATTCCTACCAAAGCCCTAGACGTTAGCTTATAGCCTGCAGCATTTTTTCCGCTGCCCCTTAGATGTCGGCCTGAGATCGCGTATAGTGAGCCTGAATCACAGAATTTATTACAGCTTAACACACAAAGGTCTTGAAAAATCGGGGTTTTTTTAACGGTCTCGTTACGTTGACATGTTGTACATTGGAGAAGGCGGCTCGCTTTTGTCTGCCAAGAAGAATGGCCATTAGAAAACATAATGTAAGGTAGTGGTCTCGCTGAAACACAACGGTTTAACATAACGGAAATTTCTTAGAGTGACCAAACTTTTGGATTGTTGCAAACGCGAGCTGGCGATATTGAAGCTAGCATTTCACTTAGGACCGTTTCCCCATTACGAAAAAGTCATACTGTATAATATAGTTACGAAAGTAAGTTCGCTGTAATTCCCGCATAGATAAATGTGTCATATATTGTTAAATTTATTTATGTAATAACCGATGCGTCCGAGCTAACAAAAATTCGATACAACATAATATATTACGCAATGAACAGCGACGTCTAAGGCCAGAGATGTCGAAGATGGTGACTCGCTCTGAGACGGCTGGGGATTCGTACGTTTCCGACAAGTTAATTACAAAACAAGTTTGAAGAGTCTTGGCTTTAATTAACAGGACGCCCTGGATTGATGACCCAGGCGCTCTAGAAAGCATCCACCAGCGTTTTAGATCTGCGTTTTCTGCACCAAGAAAATACGTTTTTCTGTATGTCATAATAGTTTGGGCAAAAAAAAAAAGGGAACTTGTGCTCTCCCTCTATGGATTGAAGTGATTAACATAGAGGCGCGATGTTTAATAAGTGATCTGTTCTACCCTAGCCCATCAAAATGGCGGTCATAAGGAAAGCTTTACTGACAGTCACTTAAATTGATGCTTACTTAATCAAATTTTAAAGAAATTCGTTTCCATTCGCCACAAGCACAGCTCGTTGGTTTAGCAAAACAAATGGCCATCGATCGATTTCAAGTAGAAAAAAACAAACATGAAACCCCCGTCCATGTAAGTCTGGAATTTTGTAACGTCATTTACAGAGTACTAGATTAAACCCTTGGGTTGTTTGCATGTTTGTTCAAATCGGCCTTAAACTATTCTAGTTTATAGGTCCCTCTCACAAGATGGTCAGTGCAATCGTAGTATTCGAAATAATCCTTTAGAACAATTATTTAACAACAAAACAACAACTAAGGTAGCCCAGCAGAAACTAGAAATGCTATCGATTTCAATACGTTACAGGACTTCTATCGAAATTCAAAAAGCAATTTAGTTATACCCAATTTGGCGTCGTTTCACGCCATGTAAACAACTAGGAAAGGTTCCAGTCTTGACGTTAGGCATGTGTCCCATTGAAAAGTGAACACGGCCATTCAGGTTCCTATAGACAGGCGACGTTTTCAAGTCTGCCAGCGTCAGCCTTGTACGACGCTGTCAGCCAATTCTCTTTATGACCAGTCTTCGTGATTATATCTTCCAAAACAGCATATATTATAATGTCAGTGTGCTAATTACGTGATAACGTTGAGATCGAGTAATCATTGGCTGGCACTATTGCGCATGTCAAATAGCGTAATAGTGATAGGTGCGTACCGTAGCTAATGAATAACTGGTGAAACTGAGAAGCAAATGACGTGAAGAGGACGGCCAACGCGGCTATGAGGCCTCCGAGAACAGCGAGCAAACGGGTGCTCTTCCGCCGGCAGACTCCAACAACCCACGGCGAACAGAACAACGAGACTGCCATTGACATTGCCCCCAGGCACACTGTAAATAAAGCAATCACACGAGATAAAATAACACTACGTTATATTGTCAAATACAGAAACATATGGTGATGATGATGATAATTATGGCAATGGTGACGATGATTAACATTATAGACGTTAGAACTAGAAGCTCTAAGCAACTAGAAGCTCGCGCCAAAAACGAAGAAAAGAAAAGGAATCGCTCAATGCTAACGACACATAGTCCTCCATAAGATGATTGCTAACGAAAATGCGTCTGTCGGAAAACCACTGAAAAGAATCTTGTTTTCATGTATCAGACGTCTACTCCTTTATATTCCCATGCTATGCACTATGGTACAATGTATACTGTAGTACAGCAAATAATGCTTTTTATTAACTCGCTATTCTACCTGATCACATAACTCTCGTAATGAAATCTGTTCGACCCCAGCGTTTATCCCAGTTTGCGATAAACGTAGCAACATCGCGTGTATGTGGTCAGATGGCAGGAACGACGAGATGACCCCGGGGGAGATACACGAAACAAAGCTTGCGTAAAGATTAGTCCTATCCAAAGATGGACATTGCCATTGCCAAGATTGCCGTGTCCGTCATTCCTATACACGGGGTCTGATCTCCTCAAAAATATCCTCCGTTCGCCTTTATCTCAATTCAGTTCTTGCTACCTGATCCAGAAGAAGCGCGAACAAACAGTGCCGCAGAAAACGCAGTTTATCCGTGCAAAAAATAGTCCAATGATCATTTTAAAGGTAAGCATCTCCTGTATCGCTGTTCGTGTGCTTATTATGAATCGTACAACAGCGTAGACCTTCGTCCAGCATCGTTCCGATATCAGAAAAGAATAAAATGCTATGTCACAACCAAGAAAATAACACTGATAAGTAGTAGCAGTAAGATTGGTGGAAATGCCCTTTTGCGCACCCGGACTACAGCCGGTAATTCTACAGACTTCAAGGCTCAGACAGGCGGTCAGAAGCACAGAAAGGGAAAACCATAAGGCTGCATGAATTTTAGAAATAAAGGTTATTTCCGCCCCAACTTAACGAGTTCAGTTAAATGACGTTCTGTATTTGGGACAACTCAGAGGAAGCTATGTAGGAAATTTGCATTTGTCCTTGTTTGCGTACATGATTAACCAAACAAAGAAAAAAATTACAGATAGAGAATTAAGCTAAGCTTCAATAAATTAAAGGGCGTTTGACACGTTCGTGGAATAATTATGAGAGCCAGTCGGTATCATGGTTATCAGTCGTTGTGCAAGAGGTATCCATAGTTTTGAATGCGTTGTGCCTCAATGAGATCGAAATGACGGGTGAGAATTGGCTGACAAAGATACTATGACAGCCAGCGGATCTCGAATTAGTAGAGCGAGAATGACGGGGGTTGTTTTTCAATTGGACGATGACCGGGTCTGTTGATTTAATACCACCCCATCGGCAGCGCTGCGATTGAAGGAAGTGCAAGACGAAGAATGAAACCAAATGAACGACTAAATTTGGCCTTGGACAGCTATTCACTGCTTAGGGCGAAACAGCGAACCAAATGAGATGTGGCCAGCCACTAATTAACCAACAAATGCGACACAAGTCAGGATTATAAAGAAAAGCTTTTCAAATTTGATACGTTTTCGTGCTTTTCTGTGTGTGCTTCGAATTCGAAATTGAATTTTTTGTCCTTCGTCTCTACTTCTGTCCCTAACGGCCCAGTATAGATGTTAAGCTTGCTGAAGGCTTGTATCGTAATACATATAAAAGTAATCTACTTCAATATTTGTGCGTCACTACGAGCAATTATTTCTATTGAATGCGTCAAGCAACATAAACCCCTTAAAAATGTTCTGTGCTATTCCAGTTGACGTTTTTAGCTTCAACAAGCAAGTAGTTATACCGGACGAAGAGTTACGGAACGAAGAGATCGGTTGGTAAGGCCGATCAACTAACCGTAATTGTTGCAAGAACCAACGCCTCTCAAGGAGAGCTACATAACTTGATGGGATAGCAATCCACGGCGACATAGTTCTGTTCCGCGGCTGTTCTTCCACACGGACGATCTTCAGTAACAAGCCACGGCCAATCAACGTGCTCTTGCAATACCTACTGCTTGCGGAGGGCTTTCTATTAACTTATGATATAGTGTTTCTTAGATATGTCGTAAGCAATCCGGAACTTACATACATTAAGTTTTTTCGAAACACATTCGAACTCACTATTAAGAAGAGTCTTAAAAACACCGTCTGCGAAAACATGTGACGCGCCGCAAACCTTTTGGGACAACATATCCGTTGAACAATGGTAACTGGTTGACACAGAACAAGTTTATGGTTAGAGAGGACGAACGTACGATGCCTTTAGTACACACTGTTATGAGTCAGGGGTCAGCTATGATAGTAGCGCGAACAGTATGTAAGACCACCTTTTTGCAACATTCTACTCTGCTATAAAAGGAGATACAAACTGCTTCCCGAGTCCCAAAACACGCTAATTATTGTTACGGTTAAAAGCAGGAGTATTGAAATTTCTGCGCGAAGTGGTCGGCAAATAAGGGTCTGGCTGTCTGGTTATTTGGGAAACTTTGCTCGTCGCTGTCAACGACAAAGGTAGAAAAAGCTTCAGACCTAAGGCTAAATATTAAAGCTACGTATAAGTCTACTTATAGGAAAAGTGTGCTCCACAATTGTGTAACTTTAACTGCCTCGTGAGCGGTTCAAAGATGCTGTTCGTAAAGCACCGTCTCTAAAATGAAGAGCAAGACCGGGTTCAGTTTTAAATTACAGTGATATACGAAGCTATCACTGTCCATAAATGAAGATCATACATACTTATGCCAAACAGAATATTCTACCGATAGGAAAACCGCAAATAGAGCTTTTTTTTTTTGTTTTATTAAAAACTATCTAGCTTCGTCTTTTTATGTTTATATGAAATGAGCTGTTTTTGCTAATTATGCGTTTTCAATGGAAATCGATGTTTTCTGCAATACTCGCAATGTAGCAATATGATTTGAAAAACTTGGATGAATAATAATAAGCTAGCTTCTGCATCGTCGAGAATTCTGAGCGGGTGGTATCGAATTGATTTTTTGCGTATTACCGCACCCAATTAGATATCTGATTAGGACCATTGCTGACGCCTGGGCATGTAGCTTGGCGGTTGGTTTTATATAAGACTGCTGCTGTGTAAATAGCTGCGATTATCATTCTCGCCGTATTATACAGCGCAAGGTTCTTTTGCGATCGTTGAAGTCTGCGCCGGCGACCATGTTGAAATTCAAGAGGTATCATTGGCAGCAACAACTGCTGGAAAGCGCCGCCCCCGTCTGCGGCACGGAGGCGGTACTAAAACCGTAGCTGGAAGCGATGATGCCATTGCAATAATGATATTGTGCTTTTAAAAAAGAGCTGTTTTCTATTCTATAATACTGGTGCAAACATTTTGCTGCCGCTATGGTCCGTCCCGGGGGTCAGACATCGTCTTGACAATGGTACTTCGGCGCCTTGACGGGTTTCGATTCGGCTCGGTATCTGCTTAATCGGTAGTGATTTGATCATCTAATTTTTTTCAGCGCGAGGACACACGCAAAGAAATGTACCACAACTTTTCTCTGGCATTCACTAATGGGACCTTCATAAGCAATCGCCATTGATCTCTGTTGTCGCCGCTGTTCGTCTTCTTTCGTTCATTCATTGAAAGCATCGACATTGCGTATATCGATACATAATTTTGTCCTTTTGCGTGCTATGTCCTTTACTTATCATTTCGTTTTTGTTTAGTGTACCTTCTATCGTAGTGGAGTTGATCCTATTACAACTGTTATTGCCGCCGCCGCCGGTGCTACCACTACGAGTGCGCTTCTGCCAAGACGAAATGATCGCGAAGAGATACAGGCAATTACAATATAAAACCCCTTCGATCAAAGCTGTTGACGTGTCCAACATTTTAGCTAGCTAGCAATCAATCGCCAGTCGATCCAGAGTGTCAGTTTCATGAAAGGGGACGATAAATAATGAATAGGCCGTGCAATTACTTTGTACGAAAACAGCTATTGTGATTCATGGCAAAATTTCGAAACGTAGATAAATTGCTCCGTAAAAGACGCCGTAAAAAGTAGATAGGTGATAAGTAACATTGATTATAAATACACACATTATCCTCACATACGCGTACAAATATTTACATGTCGCTATAACAAAACATTCATTTTATGTCTAACTAGAAATAGAAACGTATTGATGGATTAATTAGCACCGGATGTGTAGCTGCACATACGTTCTATGTGAAATACTATATTCTTGGGAATATTTATTCTGGGTGCCTTAAGATCGAGAGCTCGATAAGTGCACGAAGGACCGTTTTTCAGCTTCGATGTGTGCGCGTTCATGCAGTAGTTTTTAGCAAATGGTTGTTTTTTTCAAAAAATTTCGAAGGTTATCTCTGGCAAAAAAGAGTGAGGTGGTTGGCACGGAAGAGCCGACCTGTTAACAAGTACAGCCCAATTCAGCGTCTATACAGGCAATATTTTCCAGGGTCTTTGTCTGAGCTAATATTCTGTCCTACGGATCACGAGATTTACCTCTGCCAAAGGGAACGTTATCGGTAACCGGTACTTAGGTCTACAGTCGGTCAACAGCGAGGACTAATTTGCACAGGCGGCAAGCAAAAGGGGACTAACTTGCTAACTAAAGTTATAGTTGAATTTTACCAATTCTTTTCTGCGAATAGAACAGTGCCGAGTAACTGCTTCGCCATTGTCCACTGGACTCTGTCTAAGGCCTATTCAAGTAGTATGCTATTAGCCTTTGTAAGCATCCGGCAGACATTTCAGGAGGAAGTATGGTGGGCAGCACACTATCAAAAGACAGGGTATTATCCTAAAAACTAGTTTATATATATATATATATATATATATATAATAACGAATCGATCCGTTTGACACTGTGGTCCTATTTTCCGACCGATGTGCAGTTTCGACAGTCGAAAGACCGTGCCCGCTTTTGTGGCCAGCTTTTGTGATCGGCAG